ATTCAAATATAATAGTTTAAGCCTTAATGCCATTGGAAATGACTCATGGCACCCCCAAAATTGATAGTGCCACTAACAAATATTTAAGGTAATATTAAATATCTACAGGAATTTCTGAAACCAGCAGGAAGCACAGGTTGAGATCCAAACTGCCCTTCTGCCCCTCCCTTGTACATACAACACCAGGCATTATAGACCCAGAAATACATATGCTATACGATTTTCTTTATAATTTGATCGAGATGAAGAAGAAATGAAATGCAAAATGCACATGACATACATAACAGTCACAATAGTACAAGACCTACGAATCAGAAACACAAAGCTGGGCCCAATGATGTTAACAGAAGTAAGATGGTGTAAACCCCTCAAAAAAAGAAGACCATAAGTCACAAAAACCACCTGTGACAACCACACCATGCATATCATCTTTGCATTTATTTAATTATGTGAATTTCAAATTTTGTTTGCATATTATGTGTTTGATTTGTATATGATACATTGTTAGGATTTTTAATTTTAATCAGGAATTTTTAAATCAGAAATTGAAAGCCTAAAATGATTTAGAAAATTCTAGGTGACGAGCTTAATTAGGTTAGTTTAATGTATAGAGCCTCATGGGAATTTAATTAAAATTTTGATTCAGATTAATAAAAATTTGGGATGATCAAATCAGACATAATAATGATTAATTAGCCTTAAGTTTTAATTAATTAAACCAAATGAGTAATTAGTGTATTAGGTTAATCTAATTCTAAGTCATACATATAAAATAAGAAGAGGACGGATGACAACAAAACCACTCTTAAAAATGTGTCGCACCATCTCAAATCAGCATTACAAACATATGAATTCAAGACACAAAACAGCTACCTTAATGTGACAACATAATCAATTATAGACCAAGGACTTTGCCGAGGCAGTCACTATAAGAATGTCCAGTGCAAATAAGAAGCAACGCAGTCCAACTCAGGCAACTCAACAGGACAGATCAAACGTAAAGTCCAAAGACGACCGCAGGCCGGCCATGAAAGCGGTGAGGATGACCTTGTCGTCATTCTCCGCTACTTGAAGGGCTTCGGTGTTGAACCGGGTGACAAAGCTGCGGAGCGACTCCCCCTCGGTCTGTCGAATGTTAAGGAGCTGGGTGGCTGGGCGTCTCTGACGCTGGGCTCCAATAAAGTGGCTCAGGAAGGAGTCACTGAGGTGTTGAAAGGTGGAGACGGAGTCCGCCGGGAGTTGGCTAAACCACAGCCGAGCTGATCCCTTCAGTGTCACTGGAAAAGCTCGGCACATGATCTCGTCAGGGAAAGCATGGAGGATCATGAGGGTGCGGTAGGTTTCCAGATGGTCGACTGGGTCCGTCGTGCCATCGAAGGAGTCAATGGTAGGCATTTTGAACTTGGCGGGCAATGGTTTGTCGCGGATGGAGGCAACAAAAGGCGAGTTGGCGGTGACTGAGAGCTTGTGCTGAATGTTTTGCATGACCCCTTGTAGTTGGAGCGTCATAGCTCGGAGTTCAGCGTCCTAGAGGGGAATGTTGTCGCCATGGTCGGTCAATGGAGGCTGGACACTGCTAGCTTCCCCCTCAGGAGCCAGTGCTGCGACTAGCGGGCGTGGAGGTGGTTGTGGTAGGTTTTCATGTTGGGGAGGAAGGGGCTGCGAGCCTTCTGGGTTAGGCGGAGGGGGTTGTGGAGCAGTATGGCCTGGGGTTGTTCCTTGGTTGGGTGGGATATTTGGAGGTGGAACGGGGGGGTTTCTCTGGAGTAACGCATTGATCAGGGCCTGGTTTTGCTCGGCCATGCGGTTAATGCTGTTGGTGAGCTCGATGATATATTGTGGTGGGTTAGTTGGGTGGGGAGGATCTGTTTGGTGATCGGCGGCATTGTGGTGAGAAGCCATGGACCTAGTCGTGACCATACACCTGGACGGGTGAGAGGAAAAGGTAACGGTGAGAAAAGAGGGCTCCGGCGATAGTGAACACAACTAGCGCACGAATAAACCACAAGTTCCCACTGACGGCGCCAACTGATAATGTAGTTCGTCCTGGGTGGATAAGTCGGGCTGGTCCAAGCTCTTCAAGCTCCGATTCAGGCAGATGGTTCCACTAGATGACCTGCACGCAAGTCTAAAGGGGAACGGGGTAGTCCCCCAGTGAACCCTCCGGCGAGCGAATCAATAGAGGAAGAAGGAAATATAGAGAGAGAGGGAGAGGGAGAGATAGAAAAGCTTAACCTTCCTCTTGTCTTCCATTCTTGCTTATATCCTTTGGTAATCATTTCACTGTCCTTTGTGACGTGCCCCCTTTCCGCCGAAAGCCTATGCCGTAGCTTGCCTTGTTCAGGGTGAGGGGGCTCTGTTCCGACGGAGAGGTGTTGTCGTAATAAATGTTGTGATGGGCTGCATTAATGGTGATGTGTTGTGGCAATAACTCTGCAGATCTTTGTCTGCTGATGTGGCCTGTGTCTCATCTGTCATGTGTCCGAATGCCCTTGGGTGATACAGTCCAGGTGGACTCCAGCTGTCCTGGGCTTTGCCAATTAAGTTATGCTATGGGTCCGAGGTGATGGGTTCGGGGCGGTTTGCCGTAGGCTGTATGCCTCGTGGGCTTGTCCATGTCATATATATATATATATATATATATATATAATAAAATAAAAAAAACTTATTTTAAAATCAATTCCTATTTTAAGCCTAGTGTATCCTTTCTGTCACATCGGTATGGATTTCTCCTTAGTAGCTCACACATATACGTGAGACAATTACACAAAAAATCAACTCCTAATCTAATAAGTCCACCACTTGTAAAATTACCCTATCCCTCCTCTAATTTTATAAATGTAATATTGGTATGGAGAGGGTAACAAATGTAGCTTTGATAAGAGCTTTAAAAAAGAAGAAGAAAAAAAGTGATTTTGTTGGGTTGGTTGAGAAAGTGGCCAAAAGTCCACTCATCTCAGTTGGGAATAAAATAAAGTAGGTAAAGTTGGAACCTTTATTGATATGTGGGATTTTTTTTTTTTTTTTTTTTTTTTTTTTTTTCTAGATTGTAAATAAATTTTTTTTTGGAATTTTCCTTTTGTGAGATAAGTGAACAGCATATATAATATATAATATAATTAACTAAAATATATAGATGCTTGATCCTATGCTTTAGATTCCACATTCACAAAAGGGTGGACAAAACAAAAGAGAAGCAAACAATTTTATAATATTATAAGGTTGATTGTACGAAAATTCTCTCAACTATTTGTAAATATTATTATATATACTCTCATCATCTATAAATTTATATATTTTAATCTTTTTAATTATAAAAATATATTATTTTTACCACCTTTATCATTCTCGGAAAGAAATAGACATTCATATAATTTTAATAAGTAAAATAAATTAGGACATATTAACGTAATTAACCCAAACATATAGCCTCCAAAAGCTCAGCCCACTAGGCTTTCATAGGTTTTATAGCCCAGTTCATCCTAGCCCATTTTACATTTTTTTTTCTCAATTACACATTAATAACTAAATCGTTTGTTAAAATGAAACTTTTTTTTCCTCCAAAATTTATTATTTTATTTTCTTCTTATTAGTAAGAGAAATCTCATACCACAAAGTGCTACAACACAATAAGAGACTTGATATATGAGATGAAAAGTTTGTCAAATAGGTTGAGAGTTCTATGTTGGTGCACAGTGTGTTGAGTAAGTTGTGGATAACATTGATATGAGACACCTTAATTGAAATGAAGCCTTGGTTTGCCGAGCATCTTCTTCAAAGGTGAGTTTGGTGTTATGAAATGACATAAGTCATGAAGTATGCAGTTGTGGACAAGTCTACTTGTGACGTGGTTTGCCGAGCATCTTCTTCAAAGGTGAGTTTGGTGCTATGAAATGACATAAGTCATGAAGTATGCAGTTGTGGACAAGTCTACTTGTGACGTGGATTGAAGCTTCCTTATAAGAGTCGGTTTTTTTTAGACACAACATTAGGCCTGCATTTGACAAGAAGCGTTCTGATACCAACCGTTAAAGGCCCTGATTTATTTTACTTTTTCATTAAAACTCAACCTGGATAACATCTTTTTCAAATTGCACAAGTTTTGAACTTATTTTATATATTTACAACCTCACAAACATGAAATTAAGTAAATTCAAATAAAATAAATCATATTTACATGGAAAGCCTACGGTGTGCATCTTATCACAAATTAATGTAATTTTATTATAAAATTTCGTAACATCAATCACAAACTAGTGTAACAAAATATCTAAATTTTTATAGTTCATGTCACAAAAATTTGTCGTTGAATTATTATGATTTTTTTGTTACGGCAATTTGTGGTGTAATTATGCATCTTTTTGTTGATGCTATGAAATTTTATGGTAAAATTACACCAATTTGTAGTATGATGCATATGGTGTACGGTTCCCTATTTGTATCACCAAAAATGCCCCTAATCTTCCAAACCAATTGAGCTCAATACTATGAATAATTCTATGTATCCCACCTGATCAATCCCGAATGAGATTGTGTGGTTGCTATTGAATTTGTGTGGTATGAGATCTATGTATAGAATAAATCTAAATTACAAGATGATAATTTTGAATAATTTCTAAATAATTAAGTCTAAATTTGTAATATTACTGCAATACTATTGAAAGTAGAGGGAGGCTATTTCTGTAATTTGAACAAAAGGATAGGACCCTCTTACGTGTCATTCAGCCATGTAGCCATATCCTTTTTTATCTAATGCCAAATGAGAGGTCCAAACCACCCCTTCACACTCTCACCACTAAAATTTCAAGTACCACACCCAATCATCCAACCCAATATACCATAATACCCTGCACCACCTATAGATCATCAAAGTCAACGGCCTCAATTGAACAATCAGCATGATTTAACAAATCAAATGGGTAAACCTCATTCAATACGGTAGTCCCTATCACACCATATACAGCACCAACTAATAAAAAAACAGAGCAAACAGATATTTAAAAACACTCTGTTCCTATAGTTCAAACACATACAGAGACTACAGAGTTGAACTCAAAAACTTCCATGGCCAAGCCAGTCTCGATCGAGGTTTGGAACCCCAATGGGAAATACAGAGTTGTCAGCACAAAGGCCATGCCTGGTACTAGATGGATCAATCTCTTGATCGAACAGGATTGTCGCGTTGAAGTAATAATCTTCTTCAATCTCAATAATACTCTGTTTTTTTTTTGGTTCTTTCTCTTTTTATTATCAACAAAATTGAAGTAATTTTGTTGATTTTCATGCTCAGATATGCACACAGAAGAAAACCATATTGTCTGTTGAGGATATCATTGCTCTGATGGGCGATAAGTGTGATGGAGTGATTGGACAAGTATGGAATATATTGATTCTTGAATTGCGTTCTTTTTTTTTTCTTTTCAAATGGGTTGGTTCAATTTTTTTGGGTTTTGTGTCTTTTAGTTGACTGAAGATTGGGGAGAGACATTGTTCTCTGCATTGAGCAGAGCAGGCGGCAAGGCTTTCAGTAACATGGCTGTTGGATACAACAATGTTGATGTCAATGCTGCCACTAAGTATGGTGTTGCTGTTGGCAACACACCTGTATGTTCATTTCCCTTTGATGTGTCTTTGTGTTTGTGTTTTTGGTGTTTTGTACTGGGTATACCAATGTTGCACATGTTATGCTTGATAAAATGTTCAAGAGAGAGTGAATTGTATGTTTGTAGATATACAATTCAATTTTTTTACTTTATGTGATTCGAAGAATTAATATGTTGACATTAATGCAATGTTATATGGTTAGGGAGTACTCACAGAGACTACGGCAGAGTTAGCAGCTTCACTTTCTTTAGCAGCAGCAAGAAGAATTGTTGAAGCTGATGAGTTCATGAGGGCAGGCTTATATGATGGATGGCTTCCTCAGCTGTAACCACCATTGCCTTTGATTATTTTGCTTGTTTTTGTATATGTTATAATTAATCATAGTTTCGTGTGTTCCTTGCAAGAAAATTTACATGAATGGCTTGTATTCTTTAATAGATTTGTCGGGAACTTGCTTAAAGGACAGACTGTTGGCGTGATTGGAGCTGGTCGAATTGGATCTGCTTATGCTAGAATGATGGTAATTTCTTGTTGCCACTAAAAATTTTGAACCCCCCCCCCCCCCCCCTCCTTTTTTCCTTTTTTAATGCATTTGTGGCTGTTCATGAACCTGATTTCAAATAGGTAACTATATTTTTAAAATAGTTCGAAGTTAATAATTAAACGAGCTGAGACATGCATAGTTGACCACAGCTAAAAGTGCATGCAAGTTGTTGCAAATAAACTTTAGAGTGTCAAATGGACTTCACCCAACTCTAATGCATTATCCCACATGCAAATAAACATATTGGGATAATGCATGTCCATCAAGCAAGCATGTAACAAAATTAAGGGTAGATATACAACTCGATGCTGGTAGGCACGTGATTTCACTTTCTACCATGATACGAAGGCTTCAGAAGTTAGGTGGGGAAGGTGGGCTAGTACCAAAGTTGAAATCTCAGATTTCATGTATGTTTTGTTGATAGACAATCATTGCCGTGTCTCGTTCAATCATTGTCGACCTTCTGTGAAGTTCCATGACTTGTGAGATGATCCTCAACAGCCATTCATTTGGCTTCAAAGGATTTCAGAATGTACACATTTGGGGCTGAATACTTATGTTGTGCTTTTGTGACAGGTTGAAGGATTCAAAATGAACTTAATTTACTATGATTTGTACCAATCCACCCGCCTCGAAAAGTTTGTCACAGGCATGTCTGGATCATCTGTTAAAATTTATCAGCTTTTAACTCTTATCTTGATGCTAATTTGTTTCCTTTTTGCAGCTTATGGTCAGTTCCTAAAAGCCAATGGTGAACAACCTGTTACTTGGAAAAGAGCATCATCCATGAATGAGGTTCTCCAAGAGGCCGATGTGGTAAGACCCATGCTGAGAATTTATTCTGCATGTTAATAGTCTTTCATATATATATATATATATATTTAATTTTTGAATTGATGGTTATTGATGATTCATTTTAGATAAGTCTTCATCCAATCCTTGACAAAACCACTTATCATCTGGTAAATAAAGAAAGCCTCTCAATGATGAAGAAGGTGAATCTTGAATGAACACTTGTTGTTCTTGATGATTTTGTTAAGAAGATAGATACAAGTGCCTGTCATTTAAAATATGCAATTTATGTCTATAGGAAGCAATCCTTATAAACTGCAGTAGGGGGCCCGTGGTTGATGAAGTAGCTCTTGTGGAGCATCTGAAAGCGAATCCTATGTTTCGAGTGGGTCTTGACGTCTTTGAGGTAAAGGAACCAATTTATTTGTCTCGAGTTTACATTAATTTTGTAAAAATTGCCTCCAAGTTAATATTTTTCATTTATCAATGGTGTTGAATTAGGATGAGCCATACATGAAACCTGGACTTGCCGACATGAAAAATGCCATTGTGGTACCTCACATTGCTTCTGCTTCCAAGGTAAGGTCTTTTATAGTTTATAAAATTGTGAAAAGAGCTTTCTTTAAATAACAGCCTATTGAATTTTCTAGTTACCAAACTAAGCTGTTTCTTTGATTATTAATCAGTCATAAATATGTTTACAATTCCAAATTGTTCATGCAGTGGACACGTGAAGGAATGGCAACGCTGGCTGCTTTGAATGTCCTGGTATGCAATCTAGAGCTGAAAAGCTTATTTCTTGCAGTGTGAATCCTATGTTCAAGTTGAATTCTATTAATTTTTCCCATCTAGTTTGGCTTGTGTTATGGTAAGATTTGAATTTCGAACCACTTAGAAACTATTGACCATCTTAACTATACGATTATAATCGTAGGGAAAGATTAAAGGATACCCAATTTGGTCCGATCCAAATCGTGTAGCACCATTCTTGGATGAGAACTCTCCACCTCCTGCTGCATGCCCAAGCATTGTCAATGCAAAAGCCTTAGGTAATATTTATCAATTTAACTATGAAAAGTGAAATTTTTGTCAATATATGAACGGATTTACTTATCCTCCGATACTGTTATTGTTACAGGTTTACCTGTTTCGAAACTGTAAGCATGGATACATAATAATGATGTATGGGCCTTTGGTGCAGATAATGCTCATCTTTTGAGAATTATGGTGGTGTATAGGCTCTAACGGGTTTTTATTTCTGGAGTCGGATAGTAGTATAATATATATTTGCATCCAAGGAACGTTGAAACACTGTATTTGTTGCACCTTTTTATACATAATGCCTTTTTGATCATGTCAAGGTACAGCAATAAAATGGATGTTTTACATTTAATAAACGGTAAGAATAATTAGAAATGATATGATAAGCTTGCAGAGGTAAAGTTGGATCTAAAAAAAATATATATATATATACAGAAATTTGTGGCAGTGACCACAATAATTCATTAGTCAGACAAAGATGGCTTCTGGGACATAGTCCCTTTTTTTTTTTTTTCTTCTTCTAATCTTCTTCACAAGTTATCTGGCAATAACATTCTTGCAAATTTTGAGAAATATTGTTATTTGGGCTATGGATGAGAGGAGAATTGGCAGCACAGCATTTTAGAGGTGGATCCTTTACTCTTGGAAAAAAAAATTATTGAGAATATATAGCACCCTTTTAGAAGTGGTTTCCCAATCCTACTCAATCTCTGACATCTGCATGTTAAGTTTTCAATTCTCAGATCACTGATTTTCCTCTCTTTCTGAATAAATATGTCAATTACTTGATGAGGAGATTTTGAAGCAAATATAATGGTCCCTTTACCTGTCTTCATGTTTATGAAGCCAAGTATGATCTCTGTCCTGTGAGTCTGATATGCTTTTTTGATGGTTACATAATTCTTGGGTGGATGCTCTAACCATGTCAAAGCATGTTTTCATTCACAGAGGTTATGTCAAATGTGCGCCTTCCATTTTAATCTACTGAAACACAAGTGGTGCATATCATCTCTGGGTTTGGTGAGGTTGTAGGGATCCTCTGTTTTCAAAATATTTGTTTCCAGTGCATTCTTAACCGCATGATGTGATAAAAATTTCATAACACACTAATATTTGTAGTGGGATGAATGTGGTTCCTTCTTTTCCTGTATGTGAAGTGAATATTTTGCACGTGGCAAATAGCTAGAGTGATTCGACTGGTTGTCTGGCCGAGAAAACACTTCGATGCCAAAGTGAGGTTCTTCTTTAATGGAAGAAGATGAGAAGTATTGTAAGTAGTTGATAAATTTGTAGAACTCTTCTTATTTATAGAGAATATGGTGTGTCTTAAATTTCATAAATAGGTTCATTCACTAATATACATTGATTATGAGACATTGATGTCTGAGTGCCTTCACCCAACATTTATGGTTGGCTATTGTGTCGATTATAAGCTTCATTTTAGCTCCCACAACACCCAAGCACAATTATGTCACTGAAAATGCATCTGGGACAATTGAACAAACATTTTGAGGACCTATGACGCTCATAAAGCAATCTTTCAGGAATGGTATACAATTAAGGGTAATTATTCAATAATTCTACAGTACCATATATTATTTTACGAGATACTTTAAGTCAATGTAATGAAAGATTTTATGTATAGAATATGCTGAGTCATTTTTGTTAAGTAGTTAAAAAATTAAAAATGATCCATATAGTGTAAATTGCGATTTCTCATTTATAAAAAATATTTTATAAATAATGCCACATATTACCCACATAAGAGAATATCAAATAAATTTTTCAAGAAAAATTATCTATCCCCGCAAAGTGGAGATGTGGCATGGCTGTTTTTTCAAAATTACAAAGTGGTCATGCTGAAGTCAGAATTCGACAATCAATCTCGACATTCAATGCCCGTATCGTGCAATTATTGTATACAGTAGGGTAGGCGCAAGGTAGTTGCGACTACGGCATTTTCAATTCGATATTTGTTTGGTAGATTGGTGAATTAGATAAAATTAATTTGTATTTGTTTAAAATTTTAATTTTTTTTAACATAATTGAATTTATGAATTTCTTCTTCTTCAAAAAAAAAAAATTTATAGTCAATGACTTAAAAAATTATTACAATCATTACATGTCTCATCCAAAGAAAGAAAGTTTGAAACTTTAGAATATTGCAATCACTGCATGCTTTATTCACATATTATAATAATAGTATGCCTCATCCACATAAAGTATTACAATATGTGATTCTTAAAATATAAAAACAATTCAAACTACTAAAATCATGAATAGAGCAGTAGTAGAGATTGTGTTTTGTTTGGTTTTAGGAAAGTAGTTTTTAAAAATTGTTTTGGGGAGAGAGTTTATAATTTTTTTTGATTTGTTTGGTTGTGTATTTTGAAAGTAGTTTTGGAGTTTGAAAATTTGGAATGATTTGATATTTTTGTTAGAATTGAGTAGATGTGGGTGAGAGAAAAAGTGATTGAGAAGGAGAGAGGAGAGAGAAAAAATGATTGATTGATAGGTAAGAGAAAGAAAGTGATTTTGGAAATTATTTAGAAAAATTTACAAATCAAACAAATTTTTTAGAATTTTTTTCCCAAAATCACTCAAAAAATTCAAACCAAACATGGTCTGTATGCCTCTGTATTGTTATATCTATATTTGTTTTTGAAAACAAAAACCAACCAGCATATATCATCTTTTTTATTTATTATTTTTAGAGTTAGATTTAAAAACCAAAAAATATAATCCTGTTGACCAAGTCCACGCTCCTCCGTACGACGTCGCTTTATCACCTGAAAACACAAACGTAAAACAAAAACCAACCAGCATATATCATCTTTTTTATTTATTATTTTTAGAGTTAGATTTAAAAACCAAAAAATATAGATAAATAATACATTTATTTTTTTCAATTCAAAAATTATATTCAAGTTGAAAATTCTTTTTCAACAAAATATATTCAATTGAATATTTAAACTATTTTTTAATTAAAAACACAAACAGAATATCTAAACAAATTGAAAATACAAAGTCTTACAAATTATTAGGGGTGCTCGCAGTTTGACGGTTCAGTTGCGGTCAAATGAATCTCAAATCTGTCATTCGTCCAAAACTAGGCGGATTGAAAAAAATCAATCCATAACTAGGAATGGCAATTTAAACTGGGCCCGATAGGGACCTGATCTCCCGACCCCAATTTGAGCGAGTTTTCCCTGAAAATTATCCCCATAGGGCCGGGGATGGTATTAAAAATTGAATCCCCGATCAGTTTCGGGTTTGGGATGGTGACCACTGTTCAAGCCCCCGCCTGTGCTCAGCCCCATCCCCAGCCCTGAATTTTTCCGAAGTAAAATTACCATTTTACCCTTATATATATATATATATATAAACCAACCATTTCATTCACACAACAGCATCTTATTACTGCCCCTCGTCTCTCTCTCTTTCTCTCTTCTCTAAAACCTTTCGCCGATCTCCATCCTCTCATCACCGCCGATCTCACTCCTCCTATCACTGCTGAGATCTAAGTTCACTTTCCCCGACCTCCGCCACTATCTTCGACCGCTGATTGAGCCAGCATAACTCTACCGTCTCTTTTTCTTCTCCAACGGCGGTGAGGCCAAACTTGCTGAATCACCATCACCATCACCACTGTTTGCGGTAGTTGCAGTGACACCATTCGACCAAGCTTCACCGATCTCCACCGCGGCCCTCGCCCTAGATCTGGAATTTTCCCTCTCTCGCTCTCTCTCTCTCTCTCTATGTTATTGACGATGATGATGATGATGAACGAATCTCTCTCTTTTTATGTTGTTGTTGTCGATGATGATGATGATGAACAGATCTGTTGGATTTGATTTTTTTTTTTTTTACATTTGAGCTCATCAGATCTGTTAATGGTGATGATGATGATGAATAGATTTGTATGCTAATGATAAACATATCTCTCTCTACGTTGTTGTTGTTGTTGATGATGAACAGATCTGTTGGATCTAATTTTTTTTTTTTGGCCGGGAAATTTTTGGTGTCGGGGAAACCTAATTCCCGTTAGGGGGCGGGGGCGGATATAGGTTCCTCGTCGGGGATCAGGGCCGGGGATAGGGGAATTTCCACTGTCGTGGATCGGGGACGAGGAGTGTGATCCCAGGGCCTGCCTCGCCCCGTTGCTATTTCTATCCACAACCGTTCGTTTGTCATTACGCATCCGTCCAAAATGTAGCGAATCGGTTCGATTCGATCAATTTAGACAGATCGATATATCCACTACTAACTCCGAATATACATATGCCAGAATGGGTTAACCCTTTTAATGTTTGGTTGTAAGTTTGGCCTAAGCCCGAAGCCTATCTCATACTTTAGGACCACACTAGCCAATCTCAATACTTGTACAACGACAAATTGCATGATATATAAGAGAGGTTATTCGGTGGTCTTATAATAATATTTTATATTATTCATCACTTAATATTTGTCAAATTATATTTTAAAAATTTAACCGAAGACATTAAGTCGTACTATTTTAACTAATAAATATCAAATTGATATGTCATGCCACCAAATAATTTTTCATGAAGTAGTCTTTAGTTAATGACAAAATGTACATGGTTTGTGTACTGGTTGGATTTTGATAAGGGTAAATAAAAGATAATTTTTTTTATAATGAAAAAATGTTATAATGTATATTCCTAAAAAGATACATATCATAAGAGTATCTTCAACGCTTATTATTCTTTTTCATCAAATTTAAGTAAAAATTTAGATTAAAAGCTTCATTTGTTCCAACGCTAAATTTTTAATTTTTATCAAACAACCGGTCGATTGGGAGGACACTCGAAAGGATGTTCGGGAGGTTGACCAGCAATGGTCAACTTTGCAAGTAACTGGTTGTCTGAGAGGACAACCGGCCAATCGTCCGGTGTACGGTCAAGCGTAATGACTCTCTCTCTAAAAATTTGATGAACACCGAACCCTCTCTCAATTTGATGAAATGTTTGCTTTTCTCCTCATTTGATATAGATTTGATGCTAGGATTGGAGGAGAAAAAATAAACATGTTTCATCAAATTTAAATTTGATTCTAAATTTGAATAAACATTGGAGACACTCCAAGAAAATTATATTTTTTGATAAAAGTTATAAATATTCATAGTGTGTTATACTACTTTGTGGTAAACATTATAAATAGTAAAGTTATGGTGTGGATTCCAAAATTACGAATAACAAAATTATGTTACTTTGTGATAAAAATTATATATTTTTATGAGGAGTAAAACATTATACATAAAACATTATATTTTTTGCAATGATGAAAATTATGTCATTTATAATAAAAATTAATCAGACTATTATAATATTATTATAAAGTACATATCATATACGCTA